CAACAATCACTGTTTTATTATACACAAGCACAACGTTTCGATAAGTATTCTCTTATCGTTATCATTGTGTTTGATAACGATAAGAGTATACTTATCGAAACATATTGAAACATATTGTGAAAACAATATAATTTCAAAATTAAAAGAGTTTAAGAAAATATATTTTTATAGGTCTGGGTTTTTTTTTGTTTTTTTTGTTTTTTTTTTACATTTGATCTGTCAACACTCTACCTACAGCCACGAATCTAGATGGAATTTGTTCAAATTTGGCACAATCATTACTTTCAAAGAAAGGGTGGCACTCTCGGAGGTAAATGCATGATCGAAGCACTACTGTCACATTGAAACCTGTTTTTTTTTTAAAATCTGTTTTCTTCGATCGACTGTTTCCCTTGTTTCAAGTTAAATGATGATCTATTGGAAAGAACGTATTGAGTAAATCTACGCTATCACTAATACGGATTCAATATGTAATATTTCTCATTACTACCTATGTTGTTTAATCAATGTTATACATGTTATTTTCCAGTCGTATCAAACATCATTGATACCATTTTATTGATTCTGAAATTATTTGTAAAACAAAATAAGAGACGTGGGGGAGGGGGGGCGTATGAGGCTTTCATAGTGTGTAATCATCTAGGCCTCGATCCATTGTTTTTGGTGCTTGATATTTTGCGGGGGAGTCGCAGTGTCTAGGCAGGTAAGACGTTGGTTCGGTAACCCGAAAGCTGGGTGTTCGATCCCTTCATTGGACGAGAAAGTTCATCCAGATTTTCCGACGAGGTCTTGTCAGTTGTGCTGGACAGAGGGCCTGGCACGTAAAATATCCCTTGGTAGTTGGAATTCGATATAATGGTAGGCCATAGTGCGCTGTCCTGGCAAAATTTCGCTCATAGTATGGCGTATGCCCGTCTTCAATATGACAGTAGTGGTTCGGTCATGTATTTACACCCGAGAGTATCATCCTTTCAGAGGATCGCGTGGCTACGTGGGCAAGACGCTGGCTAGCTAGCCTGGAGGTCGGGTGTTCGATCCCACACTGATCAGAAGTGAATATTCGCTAGGCCTCTGATAAGAATGACATCGATGCGACTTAATGAGTCCCCAATATTAACATTATTCCTCCGACAAATTTAATTCTAAAACATTTTTTTTTATGTATTAGAAAAATAAATACAGACATTTGAAGTATTTGTAGGTAAAAAATATTTCCTATGTAGCGTAAATGGGTATTAAAATGAGTAAAAGGCATCATTCTACCCGAAGCAGTTACGTCTTATATAAACAATGCACGCGCCATTGGTCCAATGATTGACACCGCGTGACGTGATTGCATGTGTTGAAAACAGTCATCTTTTACAGAGATATTAGACGACTTTTTTCACAGATTGGTTCGATCCCTGCATTGGCCGACAAAATTCCCCCTTGTCAGTGATGCAGGACGGAGGGCCTGACAATGACAACTGTCTAGTCGTTCGGATGGGACGAAACACCGAGGTCCCGTGGACACATTGGCGTGCACGTAAAAGATCCCTTGGCAGTTGGATTTCGATATAAGAGCGGGCCGTAGCGCCGCTTCCCGGGCAATATTCCCTCATAGCACACTGTCTTTGAAAGTAATGATTATGCCAAATTTGAACATCTAGTTCCGCAGTCTGTAGTTATACCAGAGGGTTGACAGATAACACCTTAAAAAAACCAGATCTATGAAAATATATTTTTTTCTAAACCTTTTTTAATTTTGAAATTATATTGTTTTCACGTGTGATAAGTGTTTTAGCGAATAGTTGTAGAAAGGGTCTTGTAGATGAAGACTATGACGCATGTGCAGTTTTAAACTTCCGAGACGACAAGTCGACAAGTCGATGATACGACAGTTTGGTTTTGTCGTATCATCGACTTGTCGACTTGTCGTCTCGGAAGTTTGAAACTGCACATGCGCTATAGTCTTAATCTACAATACCCTTTCTGTAACTACATGTATTCGCTGAAACACTTAGCACACGCGAAAACAATATTATTTCAAAATTAAAAGAGTTTTAGAAATATATTTTTATAGGTCTGGTTTTTTCTTTGGGTTTTTTTACGTTTGATCTGTCAACACTCTACCTATAGGCCGCGAATATAAACTGACTTTGTTCAAATTTGGCACAATCATTACTTTCAAAGAAAGCATGACACTCTCGAATGTAAATGCATGACCGAATCACTACTGTCATATTGAAATGTGTGTGTTTTTAAATCTTTTTCTTCGATCGCTGCTTTCCTTGTTTCATGTTAAATGATGATCCATTGGAAGGAACATATTGAGTAAATGTACGTTATCACTGATACGGATTCAATATGTAATAATATTTCTCATGTTTAATCAATTTTTGACATATTATTTTCCAGTTGTATCAAACATCATTGATACCATTTTATTGATTCTGGAATTATTTGTAAAACTAAATAAGAGACGTGGGGGGGGGGGGGTATGAGGCTTTTAGAGTGTGTTCATAGTTGAAGATATTACTGGGCCTATTTTTACTCATCTAGGCCCCATTCCCATTAGTGGTGTCAAACGGATGCAAGCCTATATGCGATAAGGTCAATAACGGCTGCGAATCGTTTTCTCCACCTCATAAAAAAAACTCCTGCATCTATTTGGGTGACGGGGGGGGGGGGGTATGAGGCTTTTAGAGTGTGTTCATAGTTGAAGATATTACTGGGCCTATTTTTACTCATCTAGGCCTCAATCCCATTAGTGATGTCAATGGGAGAGGGAGAGAGAGAGAGAGAGGGAGGGTTTAACGTCCACTCGACACAAATTAGGTCATTTCGGGACTAACATATGGTTTAATTTTATTTCAATAAATCGTTTGCGCGTAGGGGTCTTTAGCAGTGGGAGGAAACCGGAGGACCCGGAGAAAACCCACGAGGTTTGACAGGCGACCCTACACCTTGTCACGTACAACCGGGGATTCAAAACCACGCCAGTTGTTCAATGACAGGCTGCGAATCGTTTTCTCCACCTCATTCAAAAAAACTCCTGCAACTATTGGGGTGACGTGCTGCACTATGATAATGCTGTGATTTTAAAGAATGTGACCCGATTTGGTTTTTTTACAATCCCCTTCCCACCCTCTCTTCTGAAATCACTTTTAAACTATAGCTCCAGTCATCTATAAATATTGGTGGGTGTCGTACACATGGCAATGAATGCTTACTTGTTCGATACCTCCCGACACCACTTTTTCTTCAAGGAATTAACTTAGCTAACTCACTTTGGTCCTGCTATTGTAATTCTAGATTTTTTTAATATAATACCAAATATAATTCACTAGTGGACACAAAATGTTTCATTATTTTGAGAAAACAAATAATTAATCAACGTTTTCCTACTATCTCTTTTATATTTATCAAATCTACTACTTAGGCCTATATATGATGTAATGAGTACAGCTGTATTTTTGTGACTTGTAGAAAGAGACTAGGACAATAAGTCGACATCTCGACGTTACGATAAAAATAACACGATGATACGACAGAATTTAGTGTCGTATGATTGCGTCAATACTGTCGTGATGTCGTGTTGTCGCGTTATGAAAAGGGCGAGATTTAAAATGGCCACTATCAGCCACCATATATGTACTCGCTCATCACTCTCTCGTACTCGCGGCTCCTCTCGTCTCGTGTAGTCCTACCAGCCTAGCATCCGACTCGTGTCCAGTGTTGCCATTTGCACTGGCAGAATTAACTGGCAGAACATTTTTTAACATTTTGAGATTGAGAATTCGATAGCGACGAAGACAAGACGATGGATGCATTTGTGATTAGAAAGAGACCATCGTCTCCTAATGACGTGACTACATCGTCTACCACATCGCATCAGGATCAGCAGCACCTCATTCCAACTATTCATCGCCTGATGTCCAAAGCTGATGATATTTGAATGAGCCGCGCCAGCATGAGTCGCTTTGTTTTGTTGCTACGATACCAAGTGCCCGTCTGTGTCAATCATACATTCACGCAAATTTCAAACTGCGCGGGTTATTATGAAGGGGTTGTCCACCTCATTACGCTATAGGAAGAAAAAATAGTTCAAAATTAGCTCAAGCTCTTGATGGTACCAGAGGCTGCATAATGTATCGCCATTTTCCTGGGACCTGCCCTTTTATACCCGTGTTACAGGTTTAAAACAGTCTCTGGTTTATTTGTTCGCGTACAAGGCCCCGGTTCAAATGTTTGCATTTGTCTACACCCAATGTAGGGTGCCTACGGGCGCCTAAAATGTGGGTGCCTAGTGTGTCTAACATAAGGTGCCTATTGTGCAGCCTATACTGTAATTCTATGAATAGAATAATAGAATACCTATAGTTTCACTTGAAATTTGATACTACAGCCTAGAGTTCTCCGCGTAAATCAAAAGACACTCTCTACTACCCTCAAGATGATATCGGCGTGGGAGTCGAAGAAGGAAATTTCAGAAAATTCAGCCATAAAACCCTATCTGAGGCACTTCAATTTGAGGCCCAGGAATGCACTCAGATGCAAGGAGAGAGCACCAAATTTTCAAAATTTTGTAGGGGAAAACCACCAAACCCCCCGCTCTGGCTCGCGATTTCGGCCACATCCTCAGACCCTCCAAAACATTCCCCAGCCCTACCAAATTTTACGAGCTGGCTACGGGCCAGCAGTACTTGATACTCTATAACCCCCCTTTCTTAACCACAGGTGGGGATTTTGAAAAAATATTTATTATAACCCCCTCCCGCATCCACTTTTCTCAATCCACATGTATTCAAATTTCAATCAAGGAGCGGCACAGTTAGCGTGTGCGGCGTCCGGGCCTTTATAGTCATACGAAACCCCCTGACTAGCGAGAGCGGCTAAAATAATAATAGACGGCAACTAGTTGGGGCCTTTTATATCAAAAGTTGTTAGCACAACTAAAATCTACAGTACGGGATGGCTCAGCCAGCGAGCGTATTTATTGAACTTTTTTTTATTGACAGGTCTGTGAAATCCAGAAAGTAAATCGTGGTGAATACCTAAAGCTCTCGCGATGTTGCAGAAAATAGCAATTTATTTAGCTGTGCTGGTTTATTGTGTTGAAGGTTTGGGGGGTGGGTGTATACTCCAAGGATCAGGACTTGGTAATGAATATTCTGTAGAGGCAACGGCTCTGAGATACCAAGAAGAGATTCATCTAGGAAGTGGACCTGTTCAAGGAATACATCTTTCGCTCACGGGTCTAAAACAGACGGTCGTAACATGGCTGAATCCAACACCTTATAAGTCTGGAAACTTTCAGCCAACATGCAACTTTGGGGAGAGTGCTTTGGTATTGAATTATACCACTGGAGGTGAAGCATATACTTATCCTGATGGGATGTTTCAGATGACACTCAATAAAGTAAGGTTAAATTTTAGCGCATTCGTCGGTAATACAGTATATTATAAATGTGGCGATATCAGATTTGGCTATAGTCCTATTTATAATTTCACAATGCAAAAAAAATATACTGAGAAAAGATTACTATATAAACTAAGAAATGAAAGTCCTCCATACTTTGGTGTGATTGATTCCTCGGATGCATTTGTTGCAGTTATTGGGGACCACGGAGTCACACGGGGGGAAGATACAGCTAACAATATAGCAGATCACGTTAAAAATGATAACCTCCAGCTTATTGTACATGCTGGTGATATCAGCTATGCTGATAAATTTGGAGGTGAAACCCATAACAATAGTTATATATGGGTCAGCTACATGAATCTTCTGCAACCAGCAACAGCTTATGTACCATATATGACAACCCCTGGAAACCATGAACGTCAATATAACTTTTCTGCTTACTTAAACTGGCTTGGAAATAGCATGCCATACAGCGAGAGTGAGTCAGGTTCCCCTTTTTGGTATTCATTTGACTACATGGGAATTCATTTCGTAGCATTTTCTACTGAACACGACTTTATGCCCAATTCAACTCAGTACCATTGGATGGAAAAGGACCTACTAAAGGCCAATAGCAATCGTGTAAATAGTCCATGGATTGTTGTGTTTGGGCATCGACCTTTATATTGCACTTCATTAATTTGTATGGAGCGATGTGAGAAAGAAGCACCTGTGTTCAGAAGTTACCTGGAGGATCTTTTATATCAGCAACATGTTGATGTCGTATTTGCTGGACACAATCATCAATATGAACGATCTTATCCGGTTTATAAACTGAAACCTGTACAGCTAGATTATAAAAACCCCAAGGCACCGGTTTATATAGTTAATGGAGCAGCAGGTAAGTTACTTTGTGAATATGGCGTCCATTCGTGGAAAGTTATATTCACCGTATCAATGGTGCAGGAGAATGAAATGAAATGGGGTTTAATGTCCTACCGTACTCTGCTCCGACTGGGATAATGACAGTGTGCTGTGAGTTAAAGTTTGCCTGAGCAGCGACACTATGGTTTACCGCCTACGCTTATATCGAATTCCAACTGCCAAGGGATCTTTTATGTGCACGCCAATGTATACACAGGACCTTGGTTTTTCGTTCCTTCTGAAAGGACTAGACAGCTGTCCTTGTCAGGCCCTCTGTCCTGCACCACAGACAAGGGTAAACCACACTGGAAAATACCAGTGAATTTTCTCGGCCAATGCAGGGATCGATCAAACTACCTCCAGACTACCAAGTCGACATCTTACCCACTTAGCCCCCGTGGCCCCCCAATGGTGCAGGATGGAAGGCCTGACAAGAATGATGTCTACACTTCCATACGGGACAAAAAACAGGTCTCATATACACATTGGTGTCCACAATAAAGAATCCTAGGCAGTTGAATTAAAAATAAGAATAGGCCATTGTGCCACCGTCCAGGGAAATTTCCCTAATAGCCCACTGTAGAAAGAACTCTTATTGTCATCATAGTGAATACATATATTTCTGTTTTCTTTTCAGAACTATACTCTTCAAAAAAAGTAGGGGATATTGAAATGCAAATACCTATGCAGGTTGCGATATGATAAATAGTCATGGACACTTGACATGCTCTGAGAGTATGTTCACAGATGAAGAACTTATCGCCCCAAGAGAACCACTGAGCTGCACATGTGACGCGCAATAGCGCCATACTCGTGGGAGGGGTTCATCGTCAAATTTGACACTTCAAGGAAGGGTTGATGAAAACTGCCGCGTGCTGGTTTATCTATCCATGTTTGCTTTCCTATCGGTTCTTGCATAAGATTTACTGTTTAGCGTATCTTTACTTTTGTGTGTTACGTTTAATTTCATCGGGAAACATGTTCGTCGACGTCAACGTCAACTGACAACACTGCAAGAATTGGCCGTGGCACTGCAAGAGGAATGGGTCAGATTGCCCCAAATCGTGATTGGACGGTTGATTGGGAGCATGCCACAGCGAATTGCTGAATGTCTGAGGATTATTAAGACAAAAATCAAAAACGTCCATTTTCACTTTTGACGGTGTATATCTTTGCGAGTGAAATGGGGCCGTCAGATAAGCCGCCAATATGAACTGTTTATGTTCATGTGTAGGCAATTGGCCTGTTATTAACATACACTGGTTACCTCTAATAAAAACAGCAGAGCATTTCCGCAGTTTTTTATTGTTTCTGAATATCCCCTAGTTTTTTGGAAGAGTATATTAAAAAAAAGAGTAAAATTTAGGAATTATTAATTAACTATAGATAAACAGAAAGAAAACATCATAAAAATCTAGTGTTTTAACAGTAACAATATGTAAACAGAACTCAACGATCACTCTTCAATTTATTTCCGGTTTTTTTTCAGAATTGTTAAAAGAAAGAGTCAAGTTTAGGGAATATTAATCATCTATGCATATAAAAAGAAAGAAAAAACAATAAAAATGTGTTTTATTGGAAATAAAGGTTGTTTGGAGTAAAAAAAAATATTTCAGAGTGCCCATGCATTATGATAAGTCTTCCGATTATTAGTTAAATTTTTTATATCAAAACAACACGAATATGAATTATTCATTCTCTATTTCAGGCAACCCTGAATTAAATGATCCATCTTTCCGATTAAAAGTAGATTGGCGGGCTTTTGACGATGTAACTTTTGACACCGGGTATATTTTAATGCAACCCACGCAGACCGAACTCCGTTTTCAATATATGAACAGCAACAAGAAGAAAATTGTGGACCAGTTTGTGATAAGTAAAGCATCTTCCCTGGATGTCTGAATAATAATACACAATATTACAATACATGTCATTGCATTATTTTACATATAATAATTAAAATATTTTTGTGTTGTCGCCTTGTCGGTTATTCTTGTGATGAATAAACACAGTCATAATCGCTTCAGGGTCGGCAGAGTTCGGACCCTGCATCTTTTCAGGCCCGTAGCTAGCTCAAAAACGTTGGGGTGGGGGGCATGGGCTTCTAGGGGTGCCGGTTGGGCTTCGGGAGGCGCCGATGTACCTACACTTGATGGCCCGGTCTATGGTTTGGAAGGAAGGAATACGAATTCATTTGTGGGTGCCTAACCAATCTCACGGCATTACGGGTGCCCCGCCATTTATATTATGGGCGCCCATGATCTTATCGTCAGCGGCCCACTAATCATGCCATTTTGGGCGCCCCATTGATCAAGTTGTGGTTGCCCAACCAATGTCACTCGGCATTATGCATTATGTGCGGCCCGACAATCATACATTATCATTATAAGGCATCCCACCAATCATGTCATTATGGGTGTTCCATCAATCAAGTTTTGGTGTTAATCGGGTGATCCATTATGAGGCGCCTCAACATTTGGGGCAGGCCTCATATATAACCATATGTTTGGTGAGGTGCTCATAAAACTAAGTGACATTGGTTGGGCGTCCTGCCAATCTCGTCTAGGCGCCAAAAAAATGTCACTCGGCTTTATGGGGCGCCCACACTGATATGGGCACGTTGGTCGTTCGCTTCGTATTGCCCATCAATGGCTCTCCCCCACCTCGCTAGCTACGGGCCTGCTTTTTCATAGTATATGGAATAACAGTTGTTAAACTTGAATATATGCCAAGAAAACGTTAACACATAAATTAATTCAACGTTTTATTATATAGTACTGGATATGATACATTATTTTCATTTGTACTATTACCGTCCTTGAGGATACAGATTTTTTGCGTATATAATTGATGACTGTAGTAAAAAGAACTATCAATATTATCATCTTAATTGATATAATATAGTCCACATACCAGGGTATACAATTTATTTAAAGTATCCGTCTACCACACTCCTCCATCGAATACCTGACAACTCATCCCAAAGACAACTCATCCCAGACAACTCATCCCAATAAAAGACAACTCATCCCAAGTCAAAAGACAACTCATCCCAAGTTAGAAGACAACTCATCCCAACTTTAAAAAACCCAATCATTCCAAGTTACAAATAAATACCGCAACAAATATTGTTTTTTTTTTTATTTATTGAATTAATCAGTAATATAAAAATTTATTATATCAACAATTTATATAAGAATTTATTAGATCAACAATTTATAAAAATAATAATGTTAAATTATTTATTACATCAACAATTTATTAAATAATACATTATTTTATTAAAGGCTCAATACCACTCTTGTTGTAACTGAATAATATGTCCCAATCTTTATTCTGGTCAACAAATTGTACTATTTTACAATATTCCAATTAATTGGTGATACAAATTTCATCTTAAAGCGGAAATAGCAAATTTTTAAGTTATATTTTTAAAATTTATTAAAATAAAGCCTGAAAATAGATGGTATCCATAAACAGTCCTACCTTGTTAAAGAATAATCCTATTAATCCTACAATTCACTATTGCCAGCCGAGAAATTGGCAAAAATATCATTTTTCTCTTCATTTTCAAACGTTGAAAAAAGCTACTCCATGGTGGAGAATAGAAAACATGGGAGGTAATTGTGTTATTATTTCCTGTGTAAATGACTTGTAAGTGTGACAACCTGTTGAGCAAAAGACATAGAAATAATTACGTTTTGACTTTCTTAGAAAATTTGCACCTAATTTAAAAAATTGGAAAAATTCAACTAAATGATTTGAAAAGCCTAACGTAAAGCTTTTCAAATGTGACTTGGATTTAAAAATATTTTCGAACCCTCTGGACAAAAAAAATAGGATGTAATGGATAATTTACACAACCGGTAGGACACTTAAACATCTAGTACTTAGAATAAGGCTCTTATTTATTTTCTGGAGCTGTCAAGCCAGCAATAGTGTTATTGTCCATTTAAGATAACAAAATCAGATTGGTTTTGGTCTGAGTGGTCTTCAAAGAAAGCAATTGTATTAAAACAGGCACTTAAATTTGTTGGGATGAGTTGTCTTATAACTTGTCTTATAACTCTACCCATGTTTTAAAGTTGGGATGAGTAGTCTTTTATATTGGGATGAGTTGTCTTTTATTGGGATGAGTTGTCTTGGGATGAGTTGTCTTTGGGATGAGTTGTCTGTATACCCCTCCATTGATAACTGTATTTAAAAAAACAGTTTTAATTCATTCACTAATATGCAAAATATGCTTGTGGTTGAGAGACAATTTAATTCACATTATTCCCATTAAAAAACTTTCTGAAAAAAGAATAACTGATGAATTAAGAATTCTAAACTATATAAATTAAAAAAACATAAATTTTAAAATTAATAAAACGCCATTATATCATAAATAATAATGTCTTGTTCTCTAGACAGGACGGAATGCAATCTATAAACATAGCTCTATCTTGTCAGTTCAAGGTATACTGAGATGCAATGAAAACACAGCACTTTTATAAACTGATGATGTTTCGTTTGAGAGATACACTTGAATCTTTTAAGTCTAAAGCAGTGGAAGGATCAATAGAAAATCCACGAGGTTGTGCAATTGACCCTACTCTATGTCACATACAAGCCTTAGTGTAAAGTAAAGTTGTTATGGCATCATCTGTGGTTTGTTCTTGATTTTCTTGTGTCGTTAAATGTCAAGCCTACAATCATGCTTGCTACAAAAATTATATTTCAGCTACATTATGTCTTGCCAGCACTTTCAGTCAAATCAGTAGTGTGTTTTATTGTGTCTCAGTATAGATATATATATATGAACATTGTGTTAATTCACAGCAAATATTTTGATTTACATTGACTGATATTTTATAAAGAAAACACAATTATTAAATGGTATAAACATAAGAAGATAATATGTCTATATTAAAGTTGAAATTTCATATTTTTAAGTTATATTTTAAAAAATTATTAAAATAAAGCCTTAAAAAAGATGGTATCTATTAACAGTCCTACCTTGTTAAAGAATAATCCTATTAATCCTATAATTCACTATTGTCAGTTGAGAAATTGGCAAAAATATCATTTTCAACTTCAAATTCAAACGTTTGAAGATAGCTATTCCTTTGGGGGGGGGGGGGTATAAAACAAGGGAGGTAATTGTGTTATTATTTCCAGGGTCAAAGGATTTTTAAGTGGGAGAATAATACCTATGATCTTATAATAGTGAGTTGACAACCTATTGAGCAAAAGACATAGAAATAATTGTGTTTTGACTTTCTTAGAAAATATGAAATTATCGCTTTAAATAACCAGATTTTATTATCAGGGTTTACACATTTTCAGCAGTTTTAACCATGCACATGTTTTAATCAAATCTGAAACAATACCATCTACAACTTAGGTCTTATTATTTTAACTATTTGGATACCTCCCATTGCAGCTCGGCTGCATTTACTTATGATGAAGTATCTTCAGAAGAGGTTATGGTGTAGAACACCTAATCATGGATACAAATAAGTTTGGAATACAACATGAGCATCCAAGTTTACCATTATAAATATTTGGGAAACTGCATCAATTGGAATGTTTTTTACTTTATGGAAATGTAGAAATAAATATTAAAATCATAAAAAGAAAACCTTGTATTATATCACAGACTATTCATAATACCTTTCAAAATTTATGTCATATAATTCATAATACCTTTTATTAAAGTTCACATCTCAATTCCTAAAACCGATATTATTAAAATGAAATATGTAATATATATATTATTGATTAGTTTAAACATGTATTATGTAAGATTTAGATAAAGTGTTGGCCATTCTTGCCATAATAGTTTCAAAATAGAAAATAGATAATTCAAAATTAATATATTGAAAATTTAATTCAAATTACTTGATTCTAAGAGAAGTTTTGATAAGACGTGGCATAGATTTTTTATTATCATGGCAACATCACATGTTAATCGAGACTCAAATTTGTTTCTGCATTATAAAATTAAATCATTAAATGGCGATCATATTTAAATCAGGTTAAGTCTCCACCATTTGATGGTCTAGAGAGTTGATTATAGGGTTTTCATGTGAATATATATCTAAATAATAATTTATAAAACATTTGAAGCCAAAATAAAGACCTAAAATAAGCAGATTTAGCTCTTATATAATGCATCTTTAAATATTTATATATTACAAAAATAAAGAATTATACAAGTATAAATTATTCCCAAAACATGGAATTATACAAGTATAAATTTTTCCACCAACTACACACAGAGATAATGATTTACACAAACAAAAAACTAACACAACAAATACCTGTTTATTAACTATTCACAACCAAGTATAATAAGTTCTTGTGAGACTTTTGTTGTATTGAGCAAAAAATCACAATTATATAATAAATATATTAATCACCTTTAATGATTTACATTGATAAATATGATAACAAGCAGTTTCTGTTTTTTAATTTGGTTTTTCACTGATCATAAGGAAATCTATTTTTTGTTTAAACTGCTATCTGTAAATAGGGACTGCAATTTTATCAATTTGATATTAGGTCAAAATAAAACTTTAAAATAGATTTATTTCAAATTTACATACATTCAATTGTGATTTCTACATATAAACCAATAAATATGGTAGATCTAGGTACTAAGTCTTGTGATTTATTGTATTTGAACAATTCATAAATTATTAATATACAATCTAAACACATTTTAAATGACCTCAATCTTTATAACAAGGAAACAAACATGCAGTGAAATTAGTATCTAAATTTTGGATTAGTTTTAGATAGACCATTTCCACATGTTTATCCAATCACAATGAGTACTGCATATAAAAATAAATCTTGTCAAATCTTATTCAGTAACAAATGTATGTTTCATACCATTATTAGGTATACAGGCCCTACAGATACAGATTTAAATCAGTGAAAAAAATAACTGTCCAAACTTGTCAGTCATAGTTTTGGATTTCTACTGTCAGAAGTTTCAAAGCTCAACTCAGAAAGGTTGAGATCTTTCTCACCAACTACAAAATAATTTGACTACCTAGAAATGTATGACCGTTCATTTGATTACCGTATATTAAACTATAATGCCTGAGAATATAAAATCTATTTCTGTCAGCAGTATCTTTATCTTTCATTAATTAATGGCAACATACTATTATGTTTCTGTTTCATAGAAATATAGTTGTTCCACCAAAAAGCAATCATAAACATTTTTCACTAGTTTCTTTAAACCTTTCGCTATATTGGTTGTATTTAATTTATCTTTGCTTCTTTCTTTCTTAATAAATTCATACACTTCTTCAAATTTTACAGCACCAAGCTTTTTAATACATTGTCTTTAATTTTGTTAAGTATGTAATAGACACATTTTTAAAAATATATGAAATAGTAATATTTAAATTTCAATATCGATTACTGAAATGATAATCTAAATCTGGGAATTAACTAACTAAAATTGATATCATCTTGTAACTAAAAATCAAATAAATTTAGAATCCATACTCTGTACTAGAGATGAAATGGAGTGTAAATGAAGATGGGTGCACTAGAGACATTATTTATATTAGACTTTTTAACGTATTCTAACATATATTTCTTTGTTTCAATTTTAATTCCTTACCTAAATATATTAATTATAGCAAGGAGAAAGGCTTTTGCAGTCCATGTTCCGTTGAAACATTTAACTACGAAAGTCTATGTGCGGTTATTATTAAAGATTGCAACCAAAGTACTTGGTAGTCTCTTTTCGCTAGACTGAACAGGTAGGCAACTTTGACTTAAGTTATGTGCACAGGCATAAATCAGATTTGTCCAGTCTGTGCAAGAAATGACAAATTTTTAATTATGGTAGGATAACTAATATTATTAGCCTTAGTTAGACTGGAGGCCAGTTTACATTTATACACAAGGTTCTGTCTTCATTAGCCCAGTCGCAGTAGGACATTAAACCCAATTTCATTTCATTTATAAACAAGGCAAATTTTTAATCCGAGAACAAATCAAAGTGATATCCTTGAATTCATCTATATTTTTAGACATTTACTAACACTTTACTTATCATGTTTTTTTTTTATTAAAAGGATACTCTCTCATATTTTGTATTCTTAATTCACGGCTAGCAGGTCCACAAAATCCTGTATCATCATTTACAACAGTTTCTAGAAAATAAATACATTTCATATAATTATATACAAAATCTAGTTGATAATCAAATTTATTGTACAAAAACTATTAGTATTAATTGATCAAATTTTAGGAACCATAATATTACCTATGAGTAAATATGCATAAATCACATAGAAGAAACAGGAGATAAACCACTTTCAGAAACTCTTGCATCTGACAAGAATTGTGAGTGGACAGACAAAATTGTAGATCCAATTAGGGAGCAAAACAAAAATCACAAAAAATCTTTTATGGTTGCATGTTTGTAAGCACATAACAAGTTTTACTTTGTAAACTTGGCTAGTCACCCTTCTTGCCACAGGAATTTTTTGAAGCAGGATCCATAATTGTGTCAATAACTACTGAATATAGTAAATGCAGGGACCAACTGTTTGATTTAATAATAAATCTCTGGAGATTTTGTTCAAACTGGCTACAAAATTTGATGAAGCACAGACCTATTGCTAATCACCAAAATCATTTTGGTAACAAGTTACCAGTTGAAATATTAAACATACATTATGCAGAGCTAAATCTGCCAATTGCAGGACTTTCTTTATGCCTGAAATGTTATCTAAATTATTAATTAGACATTAATTAACTTATCCAGACCATAATCAACTTTCGACGGCATCGCTAGCCTGCTAAATTTACTGGATTAGCACCTGCTGCTTCTCATTAAATCAAAAAATGGATAATCGAGACTATGTTTTTTATAGTACTGACTTTAGTAATGATGATCAAGGCTAGGCCCAAAATTCAATCAGGGTGGATCAATTTGAATGAAATTTTCAGCAGATTCCCTTTACATTATCTAGTTTTTAACTATTATAGTGAGAACTACCAGCTCTTAATCTAATCTCCCATAATGTATCTTTAAATAATCATTAATGTAAATAATGTCATTTGTGTTTTTATAAAATCATAGGGTTTCGTTTCTTTACTGCAAGATGCATTTATAAAGAGTATTTTAAGAAATTCCTGCCTTTTTAATCACTTTGAATCATCTAGATATTCCCAACTGACATTAAGTGTAGGCCTATGTACAAATTAGAAGTAATGATTGACGTTATTTCAGGATGGTCACACCATAATCTTACCCACTGCGGAATATTTGTGGATTATTTCAGTTCAACAAATAATATATATTTCATTGTTAATGACAATGCATGCATATTATGATCATTATATTTGTAACTTGTGAATGATTTTTAACATTGTTGTTTATCTTAATTTAATAAATGACATTTTGACAGCAATAGTTTTTGGAGATATGAAACACAAACACAAGATATGTAACTAACCATTAACATTTGAATGTAATGCCCCCTCTAAACAACCAATCAAATCCTGTGTTTCATCTCCTGCAAATGTTCTTTCCCCATTATCCCAAGCAGCTGTTGAATTGGCTTTTTCATAAACTGTATTTCCTTTGTTTACAATAGTTTTTTCATCTTCATCATCATCATCAGGTGTACTGATTGATGGCGATTCTGGGTTTTCAAATTCATCATCATACTGAGAATAATACGTCTCAGCTAGATCTGGATCTTTTGGAATTCCTAAATGAACCATATATATTATAAACATATTATAAAAAACAAAACATTTTTTTTGTCACACATTAAACAATAACATTCTAAGGAATCAAAATCCCAATATGTCTGAATAAAGGAAATGAAATGGGGTTTAACATCCTACAGTTCTGCACAGACTGGACTAATAAAAAGACAGGCGTTAGCCCATACTCCTTGCAGTGTTTCGTTGGATTATACCAAATCCCGGTTAACACTGCTGTAATGGAAGCAAATTTCTGTTCCAAATGATGACTGGTCAATAGTCCGATTACCAACCAATAACTAAATGCGTAACAATATCAGTATGCTTTAAACACAGCTCCAAATTGGACCAAATAATAATATGGTTACATAACGTTACGTCATGACTCACAATTTTATTACGCCCAATTAACCAGTGCATAGCAGAATATTGCAGAAAAGTAACTGTGTGACAAACGAGGCTATCAAAATGGAATACAATTTAAACAAAACTGTTTGGAGACGAACAATACTTTCACCGTCTTTAATACCATAAATCACTGTCCAAAGATTTAGGGAAGACCCCAAATTAAACGAAGGGCTGTCATGTTGCTGTACTAGGGATAGATTTGATTGAACAAGAAGAATAGACACACTTCCTCAAAAGCTCAAGTATCAGAAGCCAATCCAGCAATGGCCAGAGAGGGATTTCTCAGGCCATTGCTTCAGGAATATGGCATACACCATGCAGTGCAGTTATGAGAAAAATTTTGTCAAGGGTTCTTTTACTTGCACGCAAATGTGTACACAGGGACTAGGTTTTTCATACCCTCCAAACAACTAGACACTGTACTGAAAAGGTGGAAACCACATTGAAAAATTCCAGGGAACCTCGGCTCCCTCCAGAATAAAGGTCCAATACAGAGCTTAAGACCCTACACAATTCAAAGTATGTTAATGTTGAACACACAAAAATCAGCAGTTGCCATGCAAGATATGCTCACATTTTGAAAGAGAGGGATAGAGAACAAGCTAAAAAAATGTGATTCTTTGTACAATCAGGGGGCATAATCTAGAAAGTTATGGACTGAAATAAGCGAATCTTGCACGAAAGGAACTGAGATCTCTAGGATATAAACATATATTTCAAGTTTCATCGAAATCAGCCAAAAATTGTGACCTCTAGAGGGTCCACAACCTTCGTATTACATACTTTTACTTTTACACTATTTGCATACAACTCAACCATCATCAGGGTGTAACGGTGATATATTTAAACGATTTTTAAAAATGGAAAAAAATTGTGACCTCTAGAGGGTCCACATGCTAAAATCGCAATTCTTTCGTACAATCAGGGGCCATAATCTGATATGTGCGAATATCAAAAGGAGCCAAGATTTTTGGGATATAAACACATGTTTTAAGTTTCATCAAAATCAGATCAAAATTGTGACCTCTAGAGGGTCCACAAGCTAAAATCGCTATTTTTTTGGTACAATCAGGGGCCATAATCCAGGAAGTTATGGTCTGATATGTGCTAATATCAAAAGGAGCCAAGATTTTTGGGATATAAACAGGTTTTATTTACCCATTTAACCCTGAGCCAATTAAAAGATTAGCAGCTTCCCTACTCCTAAGCTCATTAAATCAGCAGGGGCCATCTCCCTAAGCCAATTAGTGGATTATTGTTAATCCTAATACCATCTACAAAATTGCAAATAACTAAAAAAAATATTTTCTATACAAAGAAACACTCTGTTACAAATAGTACAGATTGTCGTGTTCTTTCCAATGATATAAAATCCAATTGTACAAAGTAACAATTATATTACTATAAATAATATTGAAGTCAGTTTCACTAAAATTATGACTTTTCTCTGTCATAATGGTAAAATAATGTGAACAAGTATCCTCTAAGATTTTTTATTTTTTTTTAAAAATAGAACACAAATATTGTCCCTCGCGTTGGCAGCAGTTTTCAAAGTAAATATAAATATAACTTTTAAAAAGAAATATTGCCCCAAACGACGGTCACTTTATCGCTATTGGCATTTGACATTTCTGTCTTTCTTTGGATATAATGACAGGAATTGTGGTCTTCTTTGCATCATAGAACACTGTAGAGGTCACAATTTTTATCCGATTGGGTTTAAACTTGAAATGTTTGTTTATAACCCACAGATCTTGGTTGGTTTCGATATTCGTGCATATCGGACCATGAATTATGACCCGATTGTACGAAAAATTGTGTTTTTAGCTTGTGGACCCTATAGAAGTCACAATTTTTATCCAATTTAAAAATTTTTTTGAAAATATTACCATTACACCCTAAAGATGATTGAGTTCAAATTTTGTAAAAATCAGACCGAAACTGACGGACAAAATGGCCGCCCCTCGTTTGCAAATAGTGTAAACATCTGGTATATATGGGTTGTGGACTCTCTGGAGGTCACAATTTTCATCTGATTTTGATGAAACTTTAAATGCATGTTTATAACCCAAATATCTTGGTTCCTGTTGATTTTCGTACATATTGAATTGTAACTGCCTGAATTATGGCCCCTGATTGTACGAAAAATCACGTTTTTAGCTTGTGGTCCCTGTAGATGTCACAATTATTATCTGATTTAAAAAATCGTTCGAATTATCACCGTTACACCGTAATTTTTTCTGAGTTTAAATTTCATGAAGATCGGACCAAAACTGCCGGACAAAACGGCCGCCCTTCGTATGCAAATAGTGTAAACATCTGGTATATCAAAGTTGTTAACCTCTAGAGGCCACAATTTTGATCTGATTTTGATGAAACTTGAAATGCAAATTTATAACCCAAAGATCTCAGTTCCTTTCAATATTCGCGCATATTGGATTGTAACTTCCTGAATTATGGCCTCTGATTGTACGAAAAATCACGTTTTTAGCTTGTGGTCCCTCTAGAGGTCACAATTATTATCCGATTTAAAAAAACGTTTGTTGAGTTCAAATTTCCTGAAAATCGGGACAAAACTGCTGGACAAAATGGCCGCCCCTCGTAAGCAAATAATGTAAACATCCGGTAAATCAATGTTGTGGAACCTCTAGAGGTCACAATTTTGATCCTATTTCGATGAAACTTGAAATACTTGTTTATAACCCAAAGATATTGGTTCCTTTCGATATTCGTGCAGTTTCGGTTCAATTTTTATGTAATTTAAACTCAACCATCCTTAGGGTGTAACGGTGATATATTCAAACATTTTTTAAAATCGGATAAAAATTGTTGACCTCTATGGGGTCCACAAGCTAAAAACACGATTTTTCATACAATCGGGGGGCCATAGTTCGTGTAGTTATGGTCCTATATGCGCGAATATCGAAAGGAACTGAGATCTGTGGGTGATAAACATACATTTCAAGTTTAAACTAAATCGGAATAAAAATTGTGACCTCTGCAGTGTTCACAAGCTAAAAACTAGATTTTTCGTACAATCAGGGGCCAAAATTTATGAAGTTACAGTCTGATACATGCCAATATCGAAAGGAACCGAGATCTTGGGGTGATAAACCTATATTTCAAGTTTCATTGAAATCGGATAACAATTGCGACCTGTCCAGTTTTCACAAACAATTGTGACGTCTGGAGGAACGGACAGGGTTGACGACAATATATGTCCACGTGAAAATGTGGGCGTATAAAAACAATAGAAACTAGATCTGCTAAGCAGATATTAAAGCTTTCATATTCACAGTCACTGTCACATGTCATAGAAATAATATGAACAGAAAAAAAAAAATCATTATAATGAGTAAAAATTTGGTGAAGTTAATTCGATTTTTCACTGGTAAATAATTAAATAGACAAGTGGCATAACTTGACCCGCATCCCATCAGCTATCCTGAAAAATGCTGGAAAAATTAAACAAGTAAATTGTGTTTAGTACTGGGTTAATTAAGACAGGCATATGCCTTTGCTATACAGGATGACATGAGGGAAATTTAGCTTGGGAGGTGTAGGCCTGCAGCCAAAATTTCTAGCTAGCTTAGAAACACAACTCCGCTACACGGTCTTCCATAAAAGAAAAACTATACATTTTTGGAAAGCTTATGATGCCAGGAAGACAAAATTTTAGCCAGATTTTTAAACATAGAGGAGACCTGGATTCATCAGTTTCAACCAGAATGCAAAATTCAATAAAAACAATGGAAGCATCCAGACTCGCAAGTCCCCAATCAAGCCAGGTCAGTTCTTTCGACTGGACAGGTGATGGGTTCACTCGTTTATGATTCCTAAACTATTCTGCTGATTGACTACCTTAAAAACAGCCAGACTATCAATAGAAGTATTATAAAGGTGTTCTATTCAGACAATACTTCTGTTCATAAATGGGTGATATCATTTTCCCTCTATGATTACGTCATGTCAGCTAGCTTTGGGGTATGATAACTTTGGTTATAATGAAGTACTGGAACATAACAACCCAGCTTTTAATTGAGCTAGAATGTTTAAACTTGGTGTAGATGTTCATCAGGTCTTGACTGAACATTTTGAGCTACAGCTTGGCAATTTCATTGGTCGATGCTTTGGGACAAGATAACCTTGATTTCTATCTGACAGAGAGTGATGAAATTTACAGTATAGTTTGATTGCTCGATACTTTTGAAAAAAATATGAAAGTGCGATTAATTAATGTGTCATCTTTTACTTTGGGGTTTTGGCGGGAGACATCAGCCATACTGTTTGCTTGTTTAATATCCCCTATACAATATACGCTCGACCTCATTACCCGAACTGGGGTAGAAAAGTGGGATCTTTGACAATGAGGCAATGAACTTGTACATTCTTTTGCAGCTGCACAAGAGGGAACATCAACGCCGGATTAACCATGGTGGTGGGGAGGGGGGCTGATACCGACCGTGAAGCCCCGCAAGGGGGTCGGGTCAGGGGGTTCTCCCGCTAAGAAATTTTAATTGGAGGCCGAAAACGTGATTTCATGGCATTTCAGGCACTTGTGTCGGAGCCATTTAGAAGTACCTCCCCCAGAAAAATAAAATTCTGCCACAAAATTAGCCACAATCCATGCGGGTGCTGTGAAATTTCTAGAGGAGGGAGCTGGAACCCATGAGCCCGTTAAATTCGCCACTGTAAATGAGCAGAGCTACATCAAACCTAATTTTGAGTCCCTCAGTGATAAATAACTTGATTCAAAATCGTATTATAGCCCCAACGACGATTTTATGAATGGAGACCGTAACGTTACGACAAAGTCTAACACTGTAAGTACCAAATAGTCATACGAGATATGTGCATCTTATCAAATTCAGCTTATACCATACCCACAATAATGTTACGGAGTCAGTGAGTTCAAGTTAGACAATACGCTGACCTTCCACTGACCATGCTTATAATATAAAATCTGTCAATGACAGCTGATTCATTGTTTAGTTTTTTATATGATATATTCAATATCAATAATATATGTATATGCATGCTTTATTTTACTTTACACGACCTCTAAAAATGCCCCAAATCGTAAAAATACGACTTTTTGGATTTCGATCTCCTTTTTTCGGCTACCCCGGACATTTTCAAAAAATGATACAATGATTTCACACAACAGGCCAGCTATTAGCCTCTCGATTGACAAGAGTTTCATCGCCCTCCATTCATTATAACCAATGTCATCGTGCCCTAAAGAATCAACAAATCAGCTTGCTTATCTCTGCTTACCCTAGGCAAAAAATGCTCATCTTTGAACTCAATCATGACATTGACCTAGTGAACGCCTACACCAAGTTTGAACATTCTAGCTTAATTAGAAGGAGAGTTCTTGTGTTCCAAAGTCCCGGCCCTTCAAATTGCTTCTATTTTTCATTTTCAATTCAAAATGGTGACCATCACGTGACCGAAATCAAAATTCTGATCCGATAGATTTTTAGGCATTCCTTCCAGGATTCCGAAAATATGACGCCCGAGTCTGTAAGTAAAATAGCAAAAAAGCCTTTTTGGGCTACACAAAATAAATTTCTTGTTTCTCGGGCAACTGACAGCTGAAACTGTAGGGGGGGAGGGCGGTTTATTTTTTTTTTTACCTCATTTCTGGCTAGAGGATGGTGCAAAATAAAATTTGGCTATTGTTGAAAATTGTTGGGGCGGGAGGGCGGCCTTGTATTTTTTTTTTTTTTTTTAATGAGAAAGTCATTACTTGTCTACGGTTTTGCTTTCAGTTATATATTAAACATACTTAGAACATAAACCCAAAAATCAAGTCTACTCAAACACTGTACACTGACTGAAAGGAAAATAATTTTCCATATTTAATTCACGTATTGTACTAGCTTACTAATGGTAATGGTGACAACCATAATTGAAATTGGTTTAAAATAAAATTCCGTACGACTATTAATAGCCGTCCATAATAACGACAATATTTTAAAGAGTAAGCCTCTGACAGCATGTGTATCAAAAATAATCATCACGATAAACGACACTTCGATCTAAATCTAGTATCGCTGGTTTATAATGATTGACCTAATTCCAACCAATGCATGTCACGTGTCATCGGGATTCGGGAAATGACTGTTTCTCAGGTTATTCGGTGTGTTTCTCAGGATATTCGGTGTTCTATCTGGGGTTTATATCGAATGACTATTTAAATTTAACTAACAACTCGTCAGTAAAACCATCAAATGTGTAATCCAATAATTATTTTCCGGATTATCAAAACTACCGTTAAATGTGCTAATGACCCAGATTCTGACTAAGGTATGGTGACTATCATCGTATCGTATTCGTAGCCACAAGTTATAATAATTAACCTGTTCTACGATTCATTGTTTTATAAGTAGGATTTTTTCAAACATGGACCGACTGAAGCCGGCAATAATGAGCCGATTAAGATCGAATGACTGAAATACATTGCATTGTTGTCAATGACTTTCGGTGTTTAACACGAATCAAATTCTAGTTCACAAGGGGAGGTAAGTAAAATCACGTGATACAAAAATGGAGGTTCTTTCGATATCAATAAAAAAAGACCCGTAAATGAGCGTTTACATCTGAATCAGTTTAATACATTTGAATGGATATTCACGTATGGGGCATGTAGATACATGCGGCATATATTTTTTATGACTTGCTTATCGATGTTCGGGCGGGCGTTACATATTTTTTATTTTTCATCAAGACTAATAAATAGGCCGCACGCGCAACCAATTTTGCGTGCGGGCGGTGCCCGAGACACAACTTATTTTATTTGTGTTGCCTTGATTTTTCACGTTTAAAGATGGTGGCACTTCCGGTTCGATCGACAAACTCCATATTTTGTGTACGAATCAGTAATTACTTGTCTAGTATCGAATTTTTTTTTTAGGTCATTCTGACCTATATTTCGACGATTTTTTTGAAAACTTTGATCCTTAATTTCACCAAGGGGAGATAATTTAGAAAATTTCCAAGGACATCATTGAAGTCGCATTGGCAAGATCTACTAACATTCTAAATTTCACGAAAATCGCACAACTATTAAAGAAGTTGTCAAATTGGTAATAACTTCCGGTTCGAAATGACAGCGACGAATTTTCGAAATGCCAAAATCCGAAATTGCAGATTTGAAGTAAATGTTTCAAGATACTCAAAGAAAAAAGAATTAGTAAAATAGGTCAAATAGTCACAAAGTTACAGCATTGTAGGTCAAATGCATTCCTTCGTAAAATTCGGTGATTTCGGATTCGTAAAACGTTTTGAAAATATATTTAATCAACAGCCACCACCCATTTTTGGGGGGATAGGTAAAAGTTTCAGAACGATCCTATGGTTAGATTCTGAGAAATCCGATTTGTGGACAAAACACAAAAAAAAAAAAACAATAATAATCTTAACAGAAACAATAAGCTTTCATATGTAATATGAAAGCTTAATCAGTTGATTGATCTGGCATATTTCTTCGCTAATGCCATTGCCAGGTATGATGGGTCCGCGAGTTGATTCGCTGCCGCCAAATGATGGGTGCGAACTGGACAAATTGGACAAAAATTGTGGCCTACAACCTTGATATTAAATACTTTAACACTATTTGCGTACAGGGAGCGGCCATTTTGTCGGGCAGTTTCTGTCCGATTTTTACAAAATTCAAATTAAACCATTATTATGGTGTAATGGTGATATATTTGAAGGTTTTGGTTTTTTTTAAATCGGATCAAAATTGTGGACGGACGCATGTCCAGACAGACTGACAGGGACTATGGCAATATACGTCCACATGAAAATGTGGGCGTATAAAAATTTGTTCAGATATTATTTAAATCGATTTCTTCACATTACAAATAGGAAAGTACTAGTATATTAAGAACAAGTCTATATGCTGTCCAATTAATGAACAGTATGTATGTATGAAAGTACATTTACCATCTTCAAAATCCAGAGTAGAATGTAGTCTGTCGTAAACCATTGTATTTTTCATGGGAGTAATTGGTCGATCTTCGAACAAAGAAGGTCTACTATTTAGTGTGTAACTTTGTTGATGATAATCATCAGTTTCATCTTCATTATCATCTCGACTACACAATCTTCTTATTAAATCTATATATAATATATAGTTAGGCACCATTCAGATCATAAAATATCCATACTAAATTAAATATCAAAACAGGAATTCAAACATGAATGTTAGGCACCATTCAGATCATAAAATATCCAAACTAAATTAAACGCAAAACATGAATTCACACATGAATGGGACACCATTTTATTAGTAGCATAAACTGTTTGCTGAGGATAGGTCCCACCACAGGAATTGCATTTTAAGTTCCTGTCAGTATTTACTCTAAGAACTATATATGAAATACTACCTGCTTCAGATAGAGTAGTAGCTTGGCGTTCTTTGTGAATCTTAGCAGAGCCACGGGACAGCATTTTCTTTATACTTTCCCCTTCTCCTTCTCCACCTACCCACACTGGTGCCTATAATTATAATCGAAAATCGTTCTAACTGCTATTTATTGCCATCTGAACTTTTAAATTTCATTTATCTGAAAATGTGGTTCAAGATGTTCTCACAAAGGAGTAGTCATGCCACTGGTACAATCCTTCATTTGGCCGTCAAATACAAATGTATACAAACAAAGCTGTTATAACACAGCAGTGAGGGGACATTGAAATGGGACAATACTCATGATTTGTGTTTCAACATTTTATATGTGAATGCAATATTTTAAACTGATGATTGTCCCATTTCATCTTTCATAGAAGACAGCCTACCTGCCAATAAGATTAAGTAAATACCGGCTGTACTATTGACCCCCCCAAAAAATCAGAAAAATACCGAAAAATAATTTTTGATAATAATTACCCCCAGAATCTGTAAAAAGCGCCTATTTACCGAAAAATCACTAAATACTGAAAAAACAATAATAACTAGAACTGCGATGCAGTAATGACGGGTTTCACCGGTGCCCTGTTACCCTTGAACATATGTCACTTCCGGTACCGATGAAACCATTAAACAGGTTTCCATTTAAGCATTGCACACATCACATAAAATGTACGCAGAATCAACCAAATCCGGCAATATCAATTCATTGTATACATTCATTACATGTAAGTGATCCTGACAACATTACATTACTTCTGGTGATAATGAACATGTTAAATTAGTTTCATGAAATCAGAAATAGCATAAGGCATCACATGGTGAAAATTTGGACATCTATATGATCGTATTGATTCAATCTATATGTCCGTTGGAGTCAAATATAATGTTAATTAAATGAATAATAAATATAACTCACTTCAAAAAAATGTTTGTTTTGAAGGCTAAAAATACAGTTTTTGCCAAAATAACATTACTTCCCGTAATAATGAAAATGTTAAATTAGTTCTATGAAATTAGAAATCGAATAATATTTGCCACTTTTATAGACCAAAATCCTTGAAAAGTGACTTGTAGAAAATCGTCTATTTCTCTGCAACCGTACAAGTTAGAAACCATTTTTTGGTATTTGTATGATCATGTGGGTTCATTCTATTTGTTGATTGGAATCAAATATCATAATTTTAAAAACAATACAAATCAGACTCCTTTGAATAAAATATCTGTTTTGAAGGCTAAAAATACAGTTTTTGCCACAATGACGTTACTTCCGGTAACACTAAAAGTGTTAAATTACTTGTATGAAATCGTAAATGGCATTAGGTATCACACACGGGGAATTTTATGAAAATCGAATAATAATTGACACTTTTATGGACCAAAAACCTTGAAAAGTTACCTGTTGAAAATCGTCTATTTCTTCGCAACTGAACAAGTTGGAAACCATTTTGTGATATCTATATGATCGTTTGGGTTCATTCTATTAGTAGATTGGAATCAAATATCAAAATTTTAAACAAATAACAAATAAGACTCATTTGAATAAATTACTGGTTTTGAAGGTTATAAATACATTTTTTGTCCAAATTACGTCATTTCCGGTGACATTGAAAATGTTAAATTGGTTTGACCTTGTTAAAATTGACATTACGCATCAAATGGTGTCACTTTTATGAAAATCGAATAATAATTGACTCTTATACAGGCAAACTAGCGTAAAAAGTGACTCGTACAAAATTGCCCATTTCTCGGCAACTGTTCATATTACAAATTAATTTTCACATACATTCTCTTCGTATGGATTATTGCTACTAGTTTATGAAAGTTGCGAAGAAATATTTTAAAATATGAAAAGCCTGAATGGGTTGTCAATAGCTCATTTTTTCACATTTTTTCACCTTTAAATCGAAATGATCCGAAAACGAAATAAAAATTAAAAAACTGAGCGAGATGATTTCTGCGCATTAACAGGGCAAACCCTTTCAGTCATACCAGATTTGAAAAAAATAATATTTGCTTTCAAAAAGTGGTACCGAACTCTCAAAATTGCAGTTTTTGCTAAATTTATGTTACTTCCGTTGCCGAAAGGAAAATGTACCGGTAACAAAAAAAATGACATTTTGGACCGCGGAACATATGAACTTGGTTTTATACAAATCAAACAATAAATAATTAATCCAGGACTGAAAAACTGAATTAGCCAATGGGGGCCAAGGAAAAATACGGATTTTTTGTCAAATCAGATGACCCTTTAACCCTTGGTAAAATACCACATAAAAATATTCATTAATAAAAAAAATTTTCGTAAAAATTTAAATTTTCAAAATTTGGCGCCTAATATCTCCGAAGATTCGTCTAAAATAAAAAATCCAAAGAACCTTAGCTATGTGCCTTGTCTCTGGCTATGTCAAAATGTATCAAATATTACAATCAGACAGTTTGGTGATTTCGGACATTTCGCATAGCTTTAAAATTTAAGTCAAACCCACTTTCCCAGTAAAACCGAAGGCATCGAATCGATCCGACAAGTAGTTTCTGAGATATGCTCAAATGGAAAAATAATAATAATAATAATAAGAATAAGAACAAAAACAATAGTGTTTCACACTGGCTATGCAGTGTGAAACTCTAATTACTGAAAGATACCTAAATACCAAAACACTGAAAAATTAAGGGACTCTATTGGGTTCCAAGCCTTCCCACACCCTGATTGTATTGGCCCATTTGGGCCATGAGTTCCTAGTAGGGCTTCCCGTGACCCGAATTGAGGCCCCATTGTGCTGTGGCCTGCCAATGACCTTCCTGTACTCCGATGGTCACATGCAATGCATGAATCCCAGGAAACTTGTTCTAGGACAATTAGCCCCACACAATTATCCCTGGACAACTACCCCCTGACAAATTACCCCCTCCCCCAAGCCACGCATAAGAATTGTGGGTACTCTAGGGTCACACATAAAAATCGTTGTCAGGGGGCTGTTGTCCATGGGTAACTTTCCTAGAACCACTTCCTGAGACACAGTGGAGATGATGGGTCCTAACAGGTGTTCAGTTTGTTCAATGGACTACCCTGGGATCCAGGCAAGTGACCATTGGTGCTACAAGCCAATTAGGAGCACAGGAATGTAATTAGCAATCCATGAGCACAGTGATGGCTCAGGGCCCGGTTCCTAGAAAATTCTTAAAGTAAGCAATAAGTTATGCTTCACTTTTTCTTACACAAGAAACTTTATAAAATACTGTCTCTAGAAAATTCTAAAGACCATTCTTATGTAAGCACAAGTCAAAGCACACCGTGACTGGTAAATTGAGACTATGATGCTCTCTAACATCATAAAAACAAGTTTGGTATGCCAATTACGTCATAAATTGGTCGACTGCATAAAGTTATTAATAGATCAATGACTTTAACTTCTCAGCAAATGGTCAATTAAGATGCATTTGACATGTCCCCTATACACATATAAAATTTGCCATAAACTAAAAAACACAAGCATGTGCAAACAGATGGTATAATTGTGAGAACGCCTGATCTTAAAGTAGCCCGTGTTTGTGTTGTTTACTAATTGGCAAATAAATCAAATGGTTTCAGGGTAGAAGCAAAATTTTCTATATAGTATCCTTCTCGAGAATATGTTTCTAAAGGATTTTATTTGTCTTTTAATTGTCTCTTTGGTATCAAAAGATGTAGGAAATGCTGTTGAATATCTCTACGGTCAGCCATCTTGTTTGAAGAAAAAACAGACTTAAGGTTGGTAAGCAAGCTGTATACCTTGCTTGGGACTTGTACTTAGATTGAAAATGTTTAAGAACAAAGTTGTGCTTTATGGGCCTGTCACAATATAACGTTTTAGACAACTTATTCCGACGTATGAAGTAATTATCCAACACGCTGGCATCCGCTGAAGCTGAATTTAAAAATCAAGAGGACACTCTTTTTGGATGCATATATAACGTACTTCTAACGCGCTGAACGAATATATAACCTATGTTTAACGTATGAGTAACTTATTTATAACTTATCCCCAACGTAAACATAACTTACACAAGCACATGACAACGTGTGCCCAGCGAATTTTTAGCATTCTTGACTTATGCGGAACTCATGCACAGCGTTAGTCTAACTTATGCCTAACTTATGCATAGCGTGTTGGAGCTCCTCTCAATCCATTTGGTACTCTCGTTGCAGCCTCTCAGGGTCCGCCATGATTGTAGACTTCTGCACATGCTCATCTCTACACCCGTTTCAAACACGTTCAGTAACTTCTAAAGACGTCAGAAGTATGTTGCTTAGAAATAAGTTACGCGCACGCGGCTCAATTGCCCTGCTGGTAGCCGACGTATGTCAACTTACATGTAACGTGCGTGAACGCGTGCATAACTTACCTGTCGCGTACTTCTAACCTACGCCTCATGTGTAAGCAATACGTCGGCATACGCTGAAAATGTTATGCATGCACAAAAATTCTGGGCAGCAATCGGCGTACAACAACTTATACCATCGTTTTTCAGTGTGCTCGTAACTTGTTAAAAACGTACCCATAACGTATTCAACGTACACCAGCGTGTTTGCTAAATTTCTCATACGTCGGCATACGCTGATGCTATACGTCAATGTGTGACAGCCCCATAAGTATTTTCTTGGAAAAAACAAGAATGTGCTTGTGCTTACCTTGAAGTCTACTTACAATCTAAGCACAAGGATGTGCTTAAGAATTTTCTAGGAATCGGGCCCTGATCGGGTTCCGGGAAGCCCTACTAGGAGATGGGTGCCCAAATGAGCCAATGCAAGTCGGGTTTGGGAAGGCTTGGAGGCTTGGAAACCAGGAACCCAATGGGGTCCCTGATTTTTCAGTATTACAGTATTTAGGGTTTTTTCAGTAATCATGTTGTTTTTCTTGGTATTCAGTGATTTTTTGGTATTTAGGGTTTCAGATTTTTTAGGGTTCTTTAGATGTTTTATTTTCGACGAATCTTCGGAGATATTAGGCGCCAAAATTTGAAAATTTATAAATTTTGACAAAAAACTTTTTTATTTATGAATATCTTTTTATTGCGTTTTACCCAGAATTAAAGGGAAATGTGATTTGAGAAAAAATACGAACAATTTTTGTCTCCATAATTTTCCTTGGCCACTATTGGCCAATTCAGTTTATGGGTTCTAGAATAATTATTTATTGTTTGATATGTATAAAACATATGCTCTGTGGTCCAAAATGTAATTTTTTTTTGTTACCGGTAAATTTAGCAAAAACTACAATTCTGACAGTTTTTGAAAGCAAATATGTGACCCCCCATGGCATAATGAGTCACAATGAGGGAATTTTGTAAATTGAGTTATTGTTATTGTCACATTCTCCAACTCATTTCCTTCAATTTGATGTATAGTTTGTTTGAATCGGACAAAAATTGACTGAGCTGTGTCCATTAGAAGCTACCCAACTCACAAAAGTAGGTTTTGAGAAAAAGCAAGTCAAAGATTTGGTATGTTCCAAAACCAGGTTATTATTTGCTGTTTTGTCGTTGAATATATCTTTCCATGGTTTTCAGGGGTGTTGAGACGACAATCAGAGTAAAAATTTGATCCAGCGATTTCCGCCATTTATTTGCTATTTTGTCGTTTAATATTTTTTTTATTTAGGATTTCAAGGGTGCTGAAGATGAAAATCGTGGTAAATGCTCTCGTTTCGTAACGAAACATCCACAACACATGCGGCATATTCATAGGAGTGTTATACTGAAGAACAATCTATACATTAGTCTATGTTTTGTATACATGTATTATAACTTTGGTGAGAGTTAATCTCATCAATTAATTAGCACCTTAGTGCCAGCTAGTGGTCAGAAGATTAAAGTTGTTGATTGGGTAATCATCAAAGGTTTTGCGTGTACGACAGGTCTATTATACTTACGTTCACTTTCGTGCATTTTGGCGGCAGTGTAATTAAACATTGGCAGACTGTTTCCCACTCGAGAATCGTCGCATTTCGGCAATATGAATTCCTTACTTTGCATGCCGTATGAAGAAGCGAAAGTAAACGGAATTCAGGTACCAATAAAATTCTCTTTGAAAAGAAAATTAATGGCCATTTTGTTTATTTCCTTTCTAGGCCTATAAATTATTTTTTTAAAGATGAAACGAGATATCAAATAATCACCGCTTGGATTAATTATTCAGAGTAAATAATAAGTTGTCGATGGCTTTATCATTGATTCGTGACAGTTGAATCGCATGTAGGTACCCCGAAACATTATCGCTCAAGTCAGCCACGTATTTTGCACACAGTGTCTGGGCCAATCAGTAAGCGAGTTGTGTAGACAGCATAGCAACAAGCAGAGTTTGTTTACATTTTTAGGGGTTTTAAAACTTGATTGTATCAATTCAAAATAAATTCATCGACAATATTTTGGTTATATTTGTAAACTAGAGAATATAGCTAATTCCGCAGAGAATTTTAAGAAATAGGACAGACTTAAGAACACGGTACTCTTACAAAACGTCCAAATAAAGGTGTTCTAAAATCATTTATTGCTATTTTGATCTATTGTGTCGATAGATAGTATATTTATAGACTCATTTTTGTAAAAATCTCAATTTCGATCAAAATCAATATTTTTACTTATTTTGTCTTTATCTCATTATTGATTTGTGCGCATTCCGACTCATTTAGCTGTGGCCAGTCTATTATTACTTTTTTCAAATTTGATATTACCAAAAGGATGCGCCATGCAAAGGCGCACAAAACAACGGACTCAGTTTTTTTAATTTCGACTTCGTTTTGGGACTATTTTGATTAAAAGGTGATAAAAGGTGTAAAATTAAGATATTTACAACCAATTCAGCGTCTTATTTTAAAATATTTCTTCGTAGCATTCATAAACTCATAGCAATCATCCATACGAAGAGAATGTATGTGAAAATTAGTTTGTGTTATGAGCAGTTGCCGAGATATAGGCAATTTTGCGTGTGTCACTTTTCATGTTATTTTGACTGTAAAGGAGTCAATTATTATTCGATTTTCAAATTTTATTTTACCATTTAATGCCTAATGCCAATTTTGAATAGGTCAAACCATTTTAACGGAAATGACATTATTTAGCCTTCAAAACAGATATCTTATTCAAATGAGTCTGATTTGTAATGTTTTTAAAATTATGATATTTGATTCCAATCAACAAATAGAATGAACCCAAACAATCATACAGATACCACAAAATGGTTTCTAACTTGTACGGTTGCAGAGAAATAGATGATTTTCTTCCAGTCACTTTTCAAGGTTTTTGATCTATAAAAGTGGCAATTATTATTCGATTTCTAATTTCATAGAACTAATTTAACATTTTCATTATTACAGGAAGTAATGTTATTTTGGCAAAAACTGTATTTTTAGCCTTCAAAACAAACATTTTTTTGAAGTGAGTTATATTTATTATTCGTTTAACATTATATTTGACTCCAACGGACATATAGATTGAATCAATACGATCATATAGATGTCCAAAAATTGCTTCTAGCATCTTCCCTTGTTGACAAATAACCAATTTTGTCAGGATCACTTTTTAAGATTTTTTTTTGCATTTTAATTTCCCATTAGAAATTCAACTAACTTAGCGGTAAGTTAGTAAGAAATTTTGTCAAGATCACTGTTTTGACATATGTAACACATGGTAACAAATGTATAAATGGAACGTCTGCAATGTTTATGTGGAAATCTGTTTATCGGTTCCATTGGTACCAGAAGTGACATAAGTTGAAGGGTAACGTAGCACCGTAGGTGACATAAGTTCAAGGGTAACGTGGCACTGGTGAAACCCCCGTCATTACTGCGTCGCAGTTCTAGTTGGTAATTAGTATCAAATTTTTTTTTCTCTATATTTTTCGATATATTTTCAGCATTTTTCGGTCTTTTTTTTAATGTTATTTTTGAGTCTTTTTTTTAGTGTTATTTTTCGGAATTTTAAAATTTGTTCATAACTTTTCAGCTGGTAAATACTTACAATAGTTTTAGACATGGTGTTCCGGATTTCAGATTTTCTTTCTTGATTTTCCAGGAAGTTTTCCTTTGCATGTTGACTAAATAAAATAACACATTACCTAAATGTTAATACGATGAATACAAAACATTTCATTTTAAAACGATTCCCATTTAAAGTAATTTTTCTTTGAAATTGACAATAACCAATTACCTAAATGTTAATACGATGAATAGAAAACATTTCATTTTAAAACGATTCCCATTTAAAGTAATTTTTCTTTGAAATTGACAATAACCAATGAAAAAAAATTACATCAATTGATTTATCAATTAATTATTATTTGTAACTTGGTCCATATTGAGTTGATGACACTAAAGCAATCGGATCATGCGCAATGGTTAGAGTATTTGTACATGTGCACTTCACAGCGCAGTCTCGTCTGGTTAGCTCTCTGGGTCATGCCAAACAGCCAAATTATTAATGTGTATGAAAATCCCACCATTCATCCCCTTAATTGGAAAGTTTTACATATCTGTATATATATTATGAATCAATTCTTATGGCCTCCCTTAGATAGTTTGATGTATAATTATTAGTGTAACAATTGTTCATTTGTCACTTTTAATATTATTAGTGGCCACAGCAGGATTCTTGATCCATTTTGAAACAAACTGGCCAGAATTGGGTCAAATGAGGTCCCAGTAGAAACTGGGTTTTAAAATTTTAAGCTTCCATTCCCTTTAATATAACCAAACTTCAACAAAAATAATTCTTGGTATTTGTTATGAGGAATATCGTATTCTACTGTATGTAATTACCACAAAAATAACGACAAACGGGTACACCTTTTGGAAAATTATCCATATTTAATTCATGTACAGATAGAATAAATTACTGTTTTTTTTCAATGGATATAAGCTGATATGGCACCATGGTATTTCTTTATATCACAATTTGTAGGGGGGGGGGGGGGGTTCTATCACATAACTTGCAAATGTTTTTATTAATTCGTCCATGATAAAAAATGGCTTTAAAATTAAATTCCATATGCCAGGCAGAATAAGTCCACATTTTGGAAGAGATGGATAGAGAACAATCTAAACAAAAAGCGATTCTTCATAAAAGCAAGGGTCGTAATTCAGGAAGTTACAATCTGATATGCACGAATATCAACCAAAACCAAGATCTTTGGGTTATAAAGATATATTTCAACTTTCTACAAAATCGGATCAACATTGTGACTTGATACCATATTTACACTATTTGCGTACGAGGGGCGGCCATTTTGTAAGGCAGTTTAGGTCCGATTTTCACGAAAATTCGAACTCGGCCATCATAAGGGTGTAACAGGGATATGTTCAAACGGTTTTTAAATTGGATAATAATTGTGACCTCTATCGGGGCCACAAAGTAAAAAAGCAATTTTTCATACAATCAGGGGCCATAATTCAGGAAGTTACAATTAAATATGCGCAAATATCGAAAGGAACCAAGACTTTTGGGTTATAAACATACATTTCAAGTTTCATCAAAATCGGATGAAAATTGTGACCTCTAGATTGTCCACAAGTTCAAAACGTGTTTTTTCGAACAATCAGGGGCCATACTCCATGAAGTTATCGTCCAATATATGCTATATCAAAGGGAACCGAGAACATTGGGAGATAGACCTATATTTTAAGTTTCGTCAAAATCGGATAAGAATTGTGACCTGTAGAGTATCCACAAACAAATTATGAACGGACGGACAGGGGCTACGACAATATGCATCCACATGAAAATGTGGGCGTATAAAAATTACGCCTCTGTCAGGTGTATAAAATAAAAAAAAACATAACGGTAAACGCTATTTAAAACTAAAACTAGCATCGCTGGTTTATTGACTTAATTCCAACCGATGTCACATGTCATCAGGGTTTCGGCACTGGAGATTCATAATATATTATTAATGACTGTTTCTCGGTGTATTCTGTGTTCTATCCGAGGATTATATTCAACTGGTCAGTGAAATCATTAAATTATAATTCAATTATTATTTTAATATCTACCGGTATTCGATTGCCATGTGGCTTATTTCCTTACTGAGCCTGTTATAAATAATCAGCAAGTTTGTTTGGTTTTTTTTACCGGATTATTAAAATTACCGTGACTTGTGCTAATTACTCGAATTATGAACCATGGGGCCGATTCTTACTATGGTATGACTGTTATTGTAGCCAAAAAGCAAGTTGATTGACTACTTAATTAACAAGTAATAATTAACCCGTAAAAATTTGGTTAAAAGTAGGTTGATCTATGATACCATAGTGGCTGGTTCATTGTTTTACCAATCGGCTTGATTGAGCATCAAGCGGCTAAAGCTGACAAAAAACAGCCCATTAAGATCCCTGAGCCACAGCCTTACATTTCTTTGCTGGAACTTAGTTTTTGGTAAAGTAAATAGGACACAGCTCTTTACCTAATTAATCATCATGTTGATCACAGGGGCCGCAGTCCCGAATTTACAGCATTTCATAAGTAGATCGCAGGGGATGTAGTCAAGGGTCTACCAACATTTCATAAGTAAACTGTAGATGCTGCAGTCCCGGATTTACCAGAGTTTCATACATAGATTGTAGGCCCCACAGTCCTGGGTCTACCAGCAGTTCATAAATAAATCGTAGGAGCTGCAGTCCCAGATTTACCAGAAATTTCATACAAAGATTTAGAGACTGCATTCCCGTCTACCAGCTGTTCATAAATAAATCGTAGGGGCCGCAGTCCCTAATTTACAACCTCAGTCAAACGGTTGAAAATGTTATGGAACAAGGTCTCTGAAAATAAAAGATAATATCTGGGGCTAACACCACCATATGCCATTTTAGGTAATTTCCGAATATTTCCGGAAATGGTTACAAAATTTTTTGAATATGCCATTTTAAAGGCATCGATGTGTTCTTTATTCCTACCAAGTTTCCACTTGATATCTCAAATATTGACGGAGATACACCATCTTGAATGTCGAAAAAATGAAGAAAACTTTCACAAATCTTTGATGCTAAATCTAATTGAGCGAACTTCCGAATTTCGAAAAAAAGTCAGTCAGAGCTCATATGGGATTCGTCCAAAGAATCCAAAAATGGAAACCCGACCAAGATCCGCTGAAAAATAACAGAGATATGGGCAATCTGAGATTATTTTTTGTCCCATCTGTAAAACACTTCCTGTTTGTCAAAAATGACCCAATTTATATTTAATAATTAGATCCACAGAGGCCAATTACATCTACGTTGGCAGAATCTTTGCAGCATGTACAGTTTTGGTTGCACAAACTGACAAATTCCAGAAAAAAAAAAATAATAATAAAAAAAAATAATAAAAACACTTACGAAAACAATACGTGTTTCGACCATAATGAGAATTGTTTTTGTGAATGATAGTATGTTAAAATTATGTAATCCGGGCAATTGGGAATATTATCATTATTCCAGATATACCTATATGTTGCAACTGATCTAACAACATAGCTCTAATCAATGTTTGTTAATGTTGTGATTTTAAGTTAGGAGAGGGTGACGGCTGCCCCACTTAACGTTTAAGTATATCTAGTTTATTGTTATAATTTCATCATTATCATTCTATTGTTATTTTATGATAAGATTTTGCTTAATTAAGACACATTCATTAGTTATTGTTACTATGTTATTTTGTTGTTTTTTATCTTGAGATAAATATCCAAACTCAATTTGCCACAAACTTATTGGGGTGGGGTGCAACTCTAGATGTAGATGCTTCCCCCTTTCTGCAAATAAATTGTTTAAATTTATTACTATTCTTGTTTTCTGTATTTGCATAACATCTAACTTAGCAAATAAATTGGCAGATATTTTAAAACAGAATATTTCATAATTAATCCAAACGAGAACCTTAATCTGCTTCTTTCCTCTTCAACTTTACGTAGCTTGTTGAGTTTCATTCTTTCTGATGGTGTCAATAATTTTTCTTTCTTTTGTGGCTGTTTCTTAGGTTGCATCTCTCCTAAATGTGCTTTCTCAGAACTGAAATATATAGATCAGAGTAGAATGTCAACTTTTAAATACTGTGTTTTATCTAGATTCCAATAGAAATGGCTAAATTATTGCGCAACTGTGCTTTTGAGATACAATGTCAAATGATTCTGCTGTTAAGTAGTAGTAGCTGGTGGTTTAACATAATATGTTTCCACAGGAGTGATATCACAGACAAGAACTAAAGTAGAAACTTGCTCCTGCATTGACCTGAATCAATTTGCAGCCTATGGCAGGATGCTCCAAACAGTTAACCAGCAAAATCGATTTTTCATACAATCAAGGGCCATAATTCAGGAAGTTACAATCCGATATGCGCGAATATCGACAGGCACCAAGATCTTTGGGTAAAAAGATATATTTCAAGTTTCATCAAAATCGGATCAAAATTGAGACTCCTAGAGGGTCCACAGCCTTGATATACCATATATTTACACTATTTACGTATGAGGGGCAGCCATTTTGTCCGGCAGTTTTAGTCTGATTTTCACGAAATTCAATCTCAGCCGTCCTTAAGGTGTGACGGTGATGTATACAAATGTTTTTTTCAATCGAATAAAAATTGTGACTTATAGAGGGACCACAAGCTAAAGATAGGTTTCCAGACAATGAAACATATGCCCACAGCAGCTAAATCGTCCGAGAGGTCGACGAGGGTTGTCGCATATTTATTCCTTTGTAGGTAATTGGGGGCCTCTTTACTAGACAGTTCCATACAGAACAGATTATAATTTTTGTCGTTTGAGGGTTCACAAGGTACTACAAACTGAAACAAGGGCCTCAACTCTGGAAGTAGTCTACAGAAATTATTGAAATTTGACAGTTTTTTTCGTCTTACTAATTCAAATAATGCATATAAATATCATACTGATCGGATGATCACTTTTTTCATTCAAAAACTCACAAGGATCACAAAGTAAAACAAGGGCCATAACTGTAGAAATTGCTAAAATTCAATAGACCTCTGTTTCACAAATGTAAATGATGCATATAAATTTCATGCATATCAGATGATAACTTTCATCAATCGAGCATTAACAAGGTTGAACAAAGTGAAACAAGGGCCATAACTCTGGAAGTAATTATTGTAAATTGCTGAAATTCAATAGGCTTTGTGGTTTCACTAATTTAAATAAAGCATATCAATTTCACAAAGATCGGATGATAACTTTCGGCGTTCACAAGGTTCAATAAAGTGAAACGAGCCATAATTCAATACGTAATAAACGGAAATTGCTTAAATTCAATAGGATTGTTCTTTTTACTAACTTAAATGGCGCATATAAATTTCATACAGATTGGCAGATAACTTTAGAGGTTAGAGGTTCATAAAGTGCAAATAGGTGTGAAACAAGGGCCATAACTCTAAACGTAATAAACAGAAATTGCTGAAATTCAATAGGATTCTTCGTTTCACTAATTTAAATCAAGCATATATATTTTAGAAAGGTTGGAAGATAACTTTTGGCGTTAGAGCGTTCACAAGGTTCAATAAAGTGAAACAAGGGCCATAACTCTAGATGTAATGAACGAAAATTGCTGAAATTCAATAGGATTCATAGTTTCACTAATTTAAATAATGCATATAAATTTCACAAAGATCGGATGATAACTTTTGGCGTAAAAGCGTTCACAAGGTTCAACAAAGTGAAACAAGAGCCATAACTCTAGACGTAATGAACAGAAATTATTGAAATTAATTATGCTTCTTCATCTCACTAATGTACACATATATCAATTTTAAACCGATCAGAAAATAACTTTTGGAGTTACAGCGTTGACAAGAAATTGTGGACAACGGACGGACGGACAGTGGCGACGGCAATATACGTCCACATTTCCATGTGGGCTTATAAAAACACGATTTTCAAACAATCAAGGGCCATAATTCAGGAAGTTAGGAACTCAACCAACTTTACGATGTTACAGATATATATTCGAACGTTTTTTTTTAAAATCGGATAATATTTGTGACCTCTTGAGGGACCACAAGCTAAAAATGCGATTTTTCGTACAATCAGGGGCCATAATTCAGGAAGTTATGATTTATGATTCGATATGTGGGAATATCGAAGGGAACCAAGATCGTTGGGTTATAACCATGCATTTCAAGTTTCATCAAAATCAGATGAAAATTGTGACCTCTAGAGTGTCCACTATATGCCAATATCGAAAGGAACTGAGATCTTTTGGAGATATGCCTATATTTCAAGTTTCATCAAAATCGGATAAGAATTGTCACCTGTAGAGGATACACAAACAAATTTTGAACGGACGGACAGGGGCTACGACAATATACGTCCACATCAAAATGTGGGCATATAAAAAATTGTCTCTAATAAATGTTCACTGTCAGTCAAATGACTATTATTATCAAGTAATTGCGCATGCATTATCAGCAGTAGCTTGTATTAGCATATAAATAGATATCAATTTGCTATAGATATCTATATATTATAACTGATATTTTAATGGCGATAAATGGGGGGGGGGGGAGCACTTTTCAAATTTTTTTTTTTTTTTGAGAACCAGCCAGACCAGGCTGTCAAAGACATAAAAATTTAATACTTACACATATCTATGAAAGTCTCTAGCATCTATAGTGCCTGGATCACTTTTACAGTGAACTTCATCTGATAGTATATCTTTCATTTGCTAGGTTTTATAGAAAATACACACCATAAGATAGAGGCTATATACATCATAAAACATCAAGCATTTAAAGTTAGTGGTGAAAGTGCTGGCGCTGATCTCGGTATCTTTGAAGAATTTCGCAAGAGCATTTTGTCTATTGTTGAAGGATATCATTGTGTGATAAAACAAAATGAGTGCTAAAGGTGGAAAATTTTCAATGATTAACAATCTCATTTTGTTGTTGCCTGACCAGTTCTATTTATGGATAATAGATAATGTCATATCTGTGATACGTTTAACAATGTAAATATCAAATTTTTGCCACCAAATACAACATCGGTATTTGAAGAACTGTACAATAATACTTCCGGAATTGAGTATTCTGTCATGCTGTGTATTCCGTTATGTTTAAACGATACTGTACGTTGTCGGAAGTGACAGATTCCACTGTACAAATAAAATCAATACATGTGATCCTTAAATAAAAATAAAATCACAAATATCTTGTAAATTAAGTTTTATCTCCAGAACTCTTCTTTTTAATGGCATACAAAATAGACTTTTCAATGTAATTTGAACTAGGATTCTGTGATATAATATCCATACTTACAGACATATGTTGAGCAATAAATGGTATGTGGGTTATTTCTGTTGCACTTGGTCGTTTCTCAGGCTCCTTGATAATTATTCTACAAAAAAGTAAAATTAACCCTTTGAAATTGCAGTTAGCTGACATAGTATTATGTATCAATTCAAAAATGTTGCATGTACTGTATAATGATGTAATATGTACGATACCTGACTATATTAACCCACCTTTTCTTGATCTACAGCAATGTTGTAATATGCCTTACATATTAAAGACAATTTTGTCTGATCCTTGTCTTTTTTTATAATTTTTGTGATAAAAAGTTACTGTTTATTATATTTTTGGCAAGATCCAATGATAAATGTAGTCTCTAGAAAACAAAGTTTCTTAATCTAGGTACACAACTTTATAACAAAAATAACTAGAGTATTGCTAATGCTATATATACTATTCAAAAAAAGTAGGGGATATTTGATTTTTAAGTGTTATTAAAGTCACCTAATGAAACTGACGAAGAAACAAATGACAAAATGAAATGAAGTTCACATTCATCGATTTATTCCAAATGATCGTTAGACTAAGTAAGGCACAGACTGACCATTATAAGGGTAAAATGATACCCGGGGTCAAACAGCAAAGTTACCACAGCATCACAACCAAGTCAGTAACGGGTAAATCCTCCTCTGTTTGCCAAACAAGCATTGATCCGACGTGGCATACTCCTAATGAGACGTCTAAGGTCATTTTGGTCCAGATTGTCCCATTCCTGTTGCAACGCAGCAGCAAGTTCTTGGACATTGGCAGGACGTTGTTGACGTTGACGTAACCTCTGTCCAAGCATGTCCCAGACATGCTCGATGGGGGAGAGGTCGGGACTCAGTGCTGGCCAAGGTAATGTGGTGATGTTCTGTTGTTGGAGGTAACCTGTAACGATCCTGGCCCTGTGACATCTTGCGTTGTCATCCTGGAAGATGAAACGGCAGCCATGACGTCGTGCGAACGGCACAACATGGACTTGATAACGATAAGAGGATACTTGTCGAAACGTCGTGCTTTTAGAATAAACCAGTGATTGTTTCCCATAAAAATTGTGTTCTATTAATACTTTTTTTGAATAGTATATACTGAGCGCCATGGAAAACGCATCACTTAGTTTTTTGTATAATAAAATGATCCTTTAAACATCTTATTTATTTTGCTTCTTATTTATTGTGAACAATATTCAAATGGGAACACATCAATAACAACACATTTGTACACTTATGGATGTTTAATCTGTAATCAACGGTACAAAGTCAGAGGGGTTAAAACCAAAAGTATGACACAGATGTCAGTAGCGCGTGTGTCCTCCACGGGCTCTTACGCACACTGTGCAGCGACGTCGCATGGAATTTACCAATGTTTGAAAGAAGGCCTGGGGCAAATTGTTCCATTCTTGGACAAGAGCAGCTTCTAAAGCAGCAATGGTGTGCATCTGTGGTCTCCGATACAGACAGCGTCCAATCTCACCCCAGACAAGTTCTATCGGTGCCATGTCCGGAGACATGGCTGGCCAGTCCAAGACATTGATGTTGTTAGCAGCCAGGTAGTCCATACTAAAACAGGCGGTATGCGGACGTGCATTATCCTGTTGGAAGTGCTGAAGTTGTGGGTGCGCTCGAAACATCGGAACAACAATTGGTGATAAAATGTGAAGCCTCCCCACACCATTACACTTCCCCCACCCTATTGATTTGTTTTGAAGACGCAGCAGTCTGCAAGACGTTCCCCAAGACGTCTCCACACACGTTGACGGCCATCAGCGTGATAAAGATGAAAGCGACTCTCATCACTGAAGAGCACACTTTGCCAGTCTACTCTTCTCCATGTCTGGTGTCCTTGAGCCCATATCAAACGCCGCCGACGGTGATGATCCCTGAGGATAGCTCCAACATAAGGTCGTCGTGCACGGAGTCCTACTTCTCTTAGACGACGTCTTACGGTGTTGTCACTTACTGGTCCTTGTCTTCCGACGACTGCTGCACCTGTTCGAGTCGCTGGGCGGAATCTGTCACGCAGATGAGTGACCCGAATGTTGCGGTCTTGAGCCTGGGTTGTACCGCATTATGGACCAGGACGTTGATGGTCCCGTGTTGATCCAGTAACTCGAACACATTCCACCAACCTTACAATAGTGGACTGATGACAATTGAAGTGTCTGGCAATAGCACGTGTAGACATTTCAGCCCGGGACATTCCCATGGCTTCATTCCAATGATTTTCAGTAAGTCTTGTCATCTCTAGCTCAATTCCTTCACACGTCCAACAACAAATTACGACAGATTGACGTTTCACAGTTGATGTACTGCACATTAAGTTGAAAACATGCTTTTAAAGGGCTCACACACAATACTGCACGTGAATATTGGGTTTTTCATGTGCATCTCGTGCAATTTTTTTTTGTGCACACGGGCCGATATTTTTTGCGTTTGGGAGCATTGTGTGAAACAATAGTTCTTAGTATTGCATAATATTATACATACAAAACCACCTAGTAATAAAATATTTGGGAAAAAAAGTGATGTGTTTTCCATGGCACTCAGTATATATATGTACACATTCCTGTTTTCATTGATATGGTACTTTTCAAAATGAAGTGAATGAAATATGAACTAGCTGCAATGACTGTAATATGACAAGAGGCAAAGAAGGCTAGGCTTGGGTTTATTTTGCAAAAATTAGAGACTAAAATATTAACAAAAAAGTGAGAGGGACACCGTCACAGGGGGTTGGGGCATGCACCAAAATAAAATAGTTGCTGTCTTTACGGTATAAGGAATAAATATGCAAAGTTCCAAGGTGATCCATTCAGATATGGTAGTTTTCAAAATGAAGTGAATGAAATATGAGAGAAAGAGAGTAAGAAATGGGGTTTTAACCTCCACTTGACACAAACTAGGTCATTTCGGGACTAACATATGGTTTAATTTTATTTCAATAATTCGCTCGCGGGTAGGGGTCTTTAGCAGTGGGAGGAAACCAGAGGACCCGGAGAAAACCCACGAGGTGGGACAGGCGACCCTACTCCTTGCCACATACAAAATGGGATTTGAAACCACACCAGTTGACTCAATGACAGATGTTATGCTACAGCGCGCACGTGCTAACCATTCGGCCATCCAAACCCCTGAATGAAATATTAACTAGCTGTAATGACTGTAATATGACAAGAGGCAAAGAGAGAGAGAGAGAGAGAGAGAGAGAGAGAGAGAGAGGTTTAACGTCCACTCTACACAAACTAGGTCATTTCGGAACTAACATATGGTTTTATTTTATTTCAATAATTTAAAGATACATTCTCGCGTACAAACTGGGTGATTTAATGGTATATATGGACTAAAATCATATTCAAACTAATTAATTTGTCATAATTTTTCTTCAAATCCTTCTCAAACATTGTAATTGCGAAGGAATGCCCTGCTATAAAAATTCGATCAAACCAGGTCATGTTTACGTCACGTGACTTACCTCTCTTGGAAGTCAGAGGCAAATTCATTGCATACATAAGACGATGTTGTCTTTAATCGCTTACTATTTATTACGAATATCGAATCCTAATTAAATTCTCGGATTATCCACTACCCGCGTCTTTTTCCATCATTTTTATCTCGGAAAGTCTTGTCTGTCTAACTCTTCATAAAGTTTATCAATTTGTACATCACGCGTGCAGAAATTCCTAATCGTCAGGCTGTCGATTAGGGGAACCCTTACATTTTTGTCCTGTATACGCTCCATGAATGTTTTTCGGGGAATCCAGTATTTTTCTAGTAAGATTGGATATCTCTACTTTCATATACCAAAATTGCCCTACTTTTATTGGAAATAACCACCCGATAAATACTTTTCTGGGAACCCATCTTTAAAAAAAAGTGAATGGGACACCATCACAGTGGGTCGGGGCATGCACCAAAATAAAATAGTTGCTGTCTTTACAGTATAATTAGGAATAAATATGCAAAGTTCTAAGATGATCCATTCAGAATTGCAGCCTAAGATAAATACAAAAATTGGGCATGGCTTTGCCCCTGGAGGTTGGATTTGGAACAATATAAATAGGTACCATCTGTTACTGAAATGATTAATATGCTGAATTTAAACAAAGTCTGTTAATTATAGCAACCTGTAGAGTATAAATTACAGACAAAAAATTAACAAAAAAGTGGGTTTGGTACCACACCCCTGGGGGTCAGAACATGTACCAAAATAAATAGTAGCTATCCTTACAGGAATAAATATGCCAAGTTCCAAGATGATCCATACATAATTCCAGTCTGTAGACAAAAAAGACATAAAAATTGGGAGTGGCTCTGCCTCTGGGCGTTGGAGAGAGAGAGAGAGAGAAATGGGGTTTAATGTCCACTCGACACAAAGTAGGTCATTCCGGGACTAACACATGGTTTAATTTTATTTCAATAATTCGCTTGCGCGTAGGGGTCTTTAGCAGTGGGAGGAAACTGGAGGACCCGGAGAAAACAGGCGACCCTACTCCTTGCCACGTACAACCGGGGATTCGAAACCACGCCAGTTGACTCAATGACAGACTTTATGGTACAGCGCGCACGTGCTAACCATTCAAGCAACCCAACCCCCCCCCCCCCCCCTGGGGGTTGGACATGGACCAATAGAAATAGGTACAACCCTATAATAGATCATTCTGAATTGGATCCAAATCTGTTAATAATTGCAGCCTATATATCATTTACAGACAAAGGATTAAACAAACGTGGGTGAGTCACCGCCAAAAAGGTGTGTGTAGGGGGAAATAATGCGCCAAAATTAATAGGTGCCGACCTTCGGGTATAAGGAATAAGTATACCAAGTTCCAAGATAATCCATTCAGAATAGTGGCCTTCGGGCGCTAACACATAAATTGGGTGTGGCTCTGCCCCTGGGGGTCGGGACATGAAAAAATATTCCAAGTTCCAAGCTGATCTTTTCAGAATTCCAGCCTGTATCCGATAAACACAAAAATTGGACCTGGCTCTGCCCCTGGGGGTCGGGACATTCACCAAAATCAATAGTTGCCGTCCTTAGGCTATGCCAAGTTCCAAGACGATCCAT